TCAAATTATGGGCATAAAGTTTTGGCCATGTTTGGATATCTTCTTAAAGCTATCGAAGCCACTCGGCTTCCTCACCTACTTTATCTAAAACAATAAATTTAGATTCTACTATGGATCTAGAAATACATGTTTTTTTGGAGGATTTCCAAGGGATAGCTACCCCCAAAATGATAAGGTTGGAATACACCCACACCCACATCTGAGCTTGGCTCAGCCTAGCAAGTTCAGGGGTGGTAGAGGGCATGTGATTGAACCCAAGCCCATCTAAGTTATTTTCCATCCACAAAAGTGGGGTGCCTCTTGGGCCCAACCCTTAAAGCAAATTAGAGAGTATATATGCTCATTTAAGATTTCTTGGCCAACCAATGAGGGATTGATGTTAAATCCCACATATCTTAACCTCTATTTTCACATTCAAGTGTGTCACTTTGGATCCTATGTTCTCATTCACCTTTTACTCGATTTGAGCAAGTGAATATATTATGTCAATCTACTCATCGAGTTGAATATAAGCTCAAGAAAATTTACTCAAAATAATAAGTGAGTCCCACTTTAATTTAGGCTTAAATTTGACCAAAAATCATTGGTTTGACGCCAAAGTTGTTGTGCCTACCATCATCGCCATCGCCACCACCCCGCCATCACCCATCACCACCACCATCCATCACCGCCGCCACTTGTAGCCACCACCCCACCCCTCCACGACTACACCTCACCATAGCCTACCATTAACACCCACTGCTAGTCATTGCCACCACTCACCACCATCACCACTTGTCATAAACATTGCTCAACATTTATAGCATAGTTGAAGATTTTGTTACTTATGAAGTCATTAACTATGTTAAGAGCACCTCTTTTGAAGAAGAAAACACAAGAGTGGGACTATTCTCACCCCCACAAACCTCTGTTATCGTCCCATTAAATACTCAATTCTAAAATTACTAACTCTACCCCTTCTATATCCATCACACTTGTAACTAAACCCACCCCATTCTTCACCCATCCCACTAATGACTAATCTCATCTCAATCTTCACCTTTTGGGTTTCTTTCTATACCCTATCTCACACATCATATACAACAATATACTCAATTTGATTATCTAGTATAGATATCTCAAGTGATATTCAAGTTGGTATTGGTTCCAAGTTTATTTTATTTTGTTGTATGTATTTTTTTTTATCAATGTCAATGATTTTCATTTAAGGTTATTATATAAGAATTAATTACACTGGTGGTCTTCAAAGTATTCACTTTGTCTTATTTTGGTCCCTAACATTCCAATTGAATCAAATTGGTCCCTAATGTATTTAGTTTGATTTATTTTGATCCCTTCCATAGACGCCATTTGCTTTTTGTTGTCTCCATCACCATGTGCCCTCCACGTGAGGGGCATATTACCCTACTTAGCCATTCAAAGACAGTGATTTTCACTTCCACTGTAATGACATCAATGGTGAGAACAACTGATTAGGGCAAAAGGGTTAGTCTTGATCATGGCAAAATGCAAGAGTGGTTATCTTCGTCTTCGTATTTGCTGACTGTGAAACATAGTGTAAGGATGGTCTGTTTCATTAGGAGGAAGAAAGGGAATCAGGTTGTAGAAGACGATGTTCCCCATTACAGTATGTACTAATTTTTATAGGTTTAGGTTTGAGCTTCATGGATATGTTGTCAAACGGATTTGTTTATGCAATTTTTTTTTTTTTGCAATATTTTATAGTTTATGTGGTTGTTGGAAACCATTTGTTTATGCAATATGAATTTTATATGTTATATTTTATAATTTATGTGTTCGTTGGAAGCCATTCGACAATTTTTATGTTTTTTCTTACATGTGTCAAAAAAATCATTTTGTAGGCCATGAGTCTTCATTTTTCTCAGTGGAGGTTCACCACAATGGTGAATTTAGAGAGAAACCAAGCAAAGCTTATGTTGGGGGCTAAATAGATTGCATATATGACTGCGATTGTGAATTGATGTCACTCATTGAAATGGATGATATAGCTAGTAGTCTTGGCTATGCTCCATATATTGGATTTTACTACAAACTTATTGGTAATGTTTGAGAGAAAGGAAAGGAAAGAAGAGAAAGAAGAAAAAGGATTGGTGGTATTTTAATTAAAAGCATTAAACATCGGTCCAACTGATATTTTTGATAAAGACGTTGGTTCAAGTAATGTTTTTACATTAAAAATAGAGAGAAAGGAATGACCTAAAAGGGAAGGTTAGCATCTTAATTAAACGTATAAATCAAATGTCAATCCTAATGACGTTTTCAAGAAAGATGTTGGTCCAAACAATGTTTGTTACATTACAAGGAATTATTGAAGACGTCAATTGGAATGACATTTTTAACATAAACGTCATTGAATGACATTGGTCAATTGGACTGACGTCTTTTAAAACTATCTGAATTTAAGAATTAGTTTGAAAACGACTCTCTTTTGGATATAAGTTTAAAAAAAAAAACCCTGGTTTGGTCAAAAGCTCAAGATTTATACTATGCACAAATTACATATATATTATCATGTAAAAATAATTGAGTTTGTCTCGTGAATGACTTTGCTCATGTAGATTAATTTAGGGTTAATTGTAAAAAAGTATACAAAACTAAACTTAATTGTCAAAAAGTACACAACTCTTAATGTTGGGTCATATTTTTTTTTTTCAATGTTGGGTCATTAAGTCCTTATTTTTTGAACTTAATTGTATCCAAGTACACAATTTAATTTTTTGTAATTTTTTTTTTGCCCTTATATATGTATATAGGAGTTTTAATAAAACAAACACCTAAAATTTAAGAAAATCAAAACCCATAATAAATCTTCTCTATTTTTTTAAGGATGTTTCAAAGTTTTTGGAAATTTGAAATTTGATAATTAAAATTAAGAAATTTTGATTTTACATTAGATTAAATTTGATAACCTATATATTTGTTAATATATATATATGTGTGTGTGTGTGTGTGTGTACACTAGGGGTAACCCATGCCTGAAGGTATGATGCAATATAAGTGAGAAGTGATAGATTTGGGGAGGGGAGAATTCAATTTGAATGGTTTTGAAAAAGATATTAGTGGCCGTTGAATGACTCTATTTGAGACTGTTGAATAGATTTATTGAAACTTGTCCTGTTTTATATATATATATAGTAGCGCGATCATGGAAGCTTCACACCATATCCTTAAGTTAGTACTTCTTACATAAGTCATTAGATTAAAATCGAATGGTCATAATCAAAAAAGTTAAAAATTAATTATCAAGACCTACCAAGTTTAACTATTTACCAAATATGAAGTTTCAATAACATATTAATTTGGATTCTAAACTTAATAAGAATGTGTATTTATTTTTTTCGAAATCAAATATTTTACAAACATCACAAATTTTGACACAGACGGATCAGTCAAGAAAGAGACAATGTGTATAACTTGTTTCATTTCTTGTACCCATTTCTTTGTGAATGTCTTTTCTATTGAAATTGAAAGTTTGTCCATTTTGAATTTATGGCTTCAAATATTAAAATCTTTCAAAAATTTATTGTATTTATATTTGAATTTAGACATAATGTTCATACGCATAATAATTCAACATCGTAATATTGGTTATTAGCGGAAGAACATTAAAACGTATTAATTGTGTCATCATGGATCGATCTTTGTATAATGCTTTCTATCTCTTTAGTTTGCTAAAAATACCTATCAAAACTACTTTGGACTCTTAGCCGAGAAGCACATCATCAAAGCCTTTAACGCACCATTATTAACCTAAAGTTTTCTAGCAGATTTAACCAGTAAATAATCAAGTGCCCAAGTTAGCTATTCAAAAGGCATTGGTGGTTGTAGATGAGCATATGTGTACATGGGTGTGAAAGTTAGAGCACGAATCATGATGTAACAACTTAGCTTGGGTCAAATTTATGAGTCAAAAACCTATTTTTTTTGTTTGTAAAATTTGAAAAAAATACACTTTCCTAGTAAGATTAAAATCTCAATTAATGTGTAATTGAAACTTCCTATTTGATAAATATCTAAACTTGGTAGGCTTTGATAATTAGTTTTTGGTTTTTTATTAATGACCGTTAGATCTCGATCTAATGACTTGCATAAGAAGTACTCACCTAAGGTTTTAGTGTGAAACTTTCATGATCACATTACTCTCTCTCTCTCTCTCTCTCTCTCTCTCTCTCTCTCTCTCTCTATATATATATATATATATATATATATATATATATATATATATTTGATCAAATTAAATCTAAAATCAAAATTCTTTGATTTTAGTACTTTCTAAGATAAGATAATTAAAATTCTTTAATTTTAGTTGCCAAATTTCAAAAGTTTTCAAATACTTTGAAACATGTCTCTAAAAACGAAGAGGATTTATTATGGGTTTTCATTTTCTTAAATTTTAAGTTTTTATTTTATAAGAAAAAAATATATATGTGGGATTTTTTTCCAAAAATATTTTTTTAGGAAACTTATTTACAATAAAATAACATAAAAGGGTATTCAAGTCTTCTTATGTGTTAAGTGGATTTTTTTATAAAACATTTTTTTTTTATGTATTTTTTGACAATAAAATCTAATTTCGTCTACCAGCTTCCAAAAGTTCCTTTAATTTATTATGTGAGTAAGACCCATCTAATTAATTATGAGCTAAACTTGTTAACAATAAGCGAACATCGAAAAAATTTGTATCGCATGCTGACAATTGCTGGTCCTAGCCTCCTAGGAGACACTGTGATAAAGACATTCCTAAAAACTGAATGCAAGGGAAAGAGATATATTAAAACCCTTCACATGGTACTATGGTAGATATTTCTTGGGTGTAACAAAGCTACCAACTCTTAAACTTTTTCCACCATGGATCAACCACCAACATTTTCTTTAATGAAAAGCGCAATCTCTTCTCAAGTATATATACGCACTTTTTTTGGTGAAAAATTGTCATTCTCACAAATCAATTAGCAACGCCAAAATCAAAAGTTCGTCTGATGGTCGCTACCAATTGGACTGTCACAAAACACGGTGAAACCCTTCTACCGACAAATGTAGATGGAGATGGAGATGTAGTGGCTTATGGCTACCGTCGGAGTTGTGAATATTTGCGTGCAAGACAAGCATTTTTAAATAGCTACCAATTCTCCGTAGATAACACTTTTAAGGAGACGGTGAAGAGGTCTGTCAAAGGGTTCCGTGAAGTGGCCATGGCAGTTGTTTCGCAGAATCGGGAAGAGATCAAGTCGAGAAGAAGGGTTGGTATTAGGGTTTATAGGTTCACGATGGCTTGGCCAACTTTGTTCATTTTCAGATGTTTTGTACCCTGGTCATATAAAGACCACAGATACCTTGATACATAATTATTGTACGGTGAGTTTATTCTTTTTCTTTCAAATATTTTGTTTGATGCCCAACTTTGGATACCAAATTTATAATGAATATGTTAACCCTAACCCAAGACATTTAGTTAATTATGCCAAAATTTCTTGACACTTGCCTAATGGTTTTATAACTTATGTCGTGTTCAAATTGACACGTATAACTCGTGAACCAGAATTTTTAGATTCGATCCATTTCTCTCCTAATAAAACCAACCACCCATAAATCCTCATAATTAAAAATTCACTTGATCTGTATGATAACAAAACTAAGTCACAAACTATACAGTTGAATAAGGATTCGGACAATACTTAATTAAGAAGCAACAAATATGAAAAAAAAAATTGAATATTTTTTCATACAATACAAATTACATGAATTTACTATGTCAAAATTGAGTTATTTGTATGATCAATACTATTGGCACTTAATTTGAATCCTAATTTGAGGATTGGATTAGCGGTGCGTCCTAACATTAAATAAAATTTACTATTAATCAAATTGTCTCAATACATTAGGTGACTAAATTAGGTGCAAGTAAAATTATTTTATTCGTAAATTATTATTTGTGTTAATTGATCGTATCATTTGTTTCTTTAGGTAAATGGTCGTACCATTTGTTGATTCATGAAAAAAATATTAAATCGTAAGTCAAGAGTATCATATCAAACTTGCATCATCTCATAAAAAATTACAACCCCTATATAAATATAAACCCTAGTGGTCGCTGTAAAATTACCCGGTGGTCCCTGAAACCCCATCTCTTCCAAACTTTATTAGTGCTACCCGGATAGGAACAACTGTGGCGTAAATAGCAAATTGGTCATTATAATATGAAATGTGTCCATTACGTATTTGAAAAATAAATTGATTTGGAATTTATCCCAACCAACTACCATATCAGGTGGCACAAGTCAAATGAAAATGTGATCACTCCCCCTCCCCCCGCGCGGGGCACCCACCCAACTGAAAAGAAATTAAAATAAAAAAGATTCGATGTAACACAAATTAATTGTAACTTTTGCCCATAGATGGCCAACCATTCAGAGTCTTGAGGAGTCGTTTTGTAAATATATAATTTTTTTTTTTTTTTGATTTAAGAGGTAAAACATAAAACTTCTTCAGTTATGAGAAATTATGAAAATGAAAACATAAAACTTGTTTAACAACCACTTCTAAATAACAAAATCATCCCACAAGTTATAAAAATCCAAGTGTAAATCAAATTTTACCTGTGGGATGGGAATGAGAATATGGACGGGGATTAAAATTTCCCCTACCAAGGATGGACGAAAATTAGCATGGACAAATATTTTTGGAGCGGGTACAGTGATAGAGACTCACTACTCCCCCTGCAGTCCAATGCCATCCCTACCGCTGAGTTGATCCTTGGATTGTCTGCAACGAGGCCTTGTGTGGGTGCTTCAGTTGGCTAGTCTCGGACTGTGTGTGTTGGACTACATTAGCTTGGCTCGCATCACTTGTTCTGCTAATTAGAACATCCCCATAATATTATGCAAAGTCCCTTGAGGCCAAACATCAAACACATTGTGGGCAGCTTTAAAACAATTCGTTTTAAGCATGAACTCTCTTCAAAGATGAACTTCAATAGTCCTCAACTCAAAATCTCTAGAGAATGTACATAACGTTAACAAAATGGTTACCAAACAGCAAACCCATACAAACCTGCATTGTTTCCAAATATTACTTAAAACCTTCACTTCTAGAAACATAAAAAATCCTTGAAAACAAGGACGTAACACCTAGACGCACACACACATAGACGCCCGTACACATTCATACATGCACAGAAGCACACCCACTTCTCGGAACGCATATACTAAAAATTAGAGTCGCGAGGGAACTTAACCGTGATAGAGGCTCCCATTTCCCTTCTTTAGCATCAATGTTCACTCCTACACACAAAGACACCCACACACACAGATGGACTCAACAACAAACAAAAGTAAAAAGAGGTGAAGAAGAAACCCTAGATATGCTTAATGCTTATCAAACCCTAGATCTATAAATAGGGGTGAAAAAGGAACCTTTAAGATGCAAAGGTGAGACTTTGCAATTGTTGGATGTCAACCGTTGGCGTCGTTGGAGCCAATGAGCTCTAGACAAGGAAGGGTTTCCATCAATTTGGGGGGAGGTGTGATATAGCGTTTATATCAATGGAGCAGCGTGTTTATATTTTTGGCTATTTTTATAAACAAATTTTGTTGATTTCAAAAACAGGCTGTGTTTTCAAAAAAATAAAAAAGATAAAAGGAAAAGATAAAAAACAATAAACAAACACCCTTTTGTTGCCCCTTTTGGCGAAAAGTGAACAAAAACAAAACAAAAAAAAAAAAAAACACAAAATCATCTTTATGGCTAAGGGTGCAACTCGAGCGAGATGGACGAGTTGAACAGTCAACTTTAGTCTAATTTTAGATATATAATCTTCAACTCTAACATTACCTCGGGTTAAGGAACTCAACTCGAACACTACCCGAGTTTAATTCGGGCGGACTCGGATTGAATTCGAATTAATGATTTCGGGCTAATTTTGAGTTACTTTACGGGTTCAATTCGGATTGAGTTCAGATAGAACCCAAAATAGACTTGTTGTTTTAAACCTAATACATATATTATATAATATTCACCTAAATTAACAACCAATAATTTCAACCAAATTTTTAACAGTGTTAATGCTAGAACAAAAATAAAAATGAACGAGACAGAAAACAATAGAACAAAAATGAAAAATCAGTATTGATGCTTTATATATATATAATTTTTTTTTAATTTATCGAGTTCGGATTGAACCCGTGAACTTGAGGCTTTAACCCGAGCTCAATCCAAATTGAATTCAAATTAGAATTTTTTGATCCAGGCCCAACCAAAATATTAAAAACCCTTGTCCAAACCCTAATTTTTTTGGGTTGAAATCGAGTTGCTCAACTCAAGTTGCACACCTATTTATGGCTAGGTGATGCATAAAATAACTACGTAGTCAAGCATATCGAAATGATTATATAAGTAAAAATTAAAATACGCCGAAAGGGGCAAGAAAAAAAATAAGAAAATCCCAAAAAATTATTTTGTTAAATAAATTAAATTAAATTAAAATTTCATGTTTAAAGCTTGTTTCTCTTACAATTTCCTGATTGTCAAAATCCTCTCCACTTCCACAGACGGATGGTGAACCCAGCATAGTAAAGTTCTCTTGCATGCTTGAAGAGCTTTCTTCTCTTTCATCTTCGCTCTGATCATCCTCATAATTTGATTCCCTTACAGACAATTCTTCGTCATTGGAATCGTATTCTGCTGCTGATAGTTCTTCGTCCGTGTATTCAGTTTCTCCATCTGAAAGAAGTGGGGAAACTCCATCCAGAGTTGAATCTAGTGTCTCTTCCGCAGCAGTCTCCACTTTCTTTGGCTTATCAGAGCCTTTTCTTGGGCTGCCGAGTATCGAGTTAGGATTCCGATTATTTGGATCACCATAAAGTGCTATGTGCCTGTAATATAGTTCAAGTTCCTTCTCAGCAATGGCAATGAAGCGCCTCACAGACTCCAATGATTGCTCATACTTCGATTTTTCCAGTGCCTGGCAATAAATAACATAACATGAAGTTGGCTAAACTCGAGGGTATACCATAGTAGTAAAGCCTTGAAGTACATGAAGAAAAATGAGTACAAAAGGATTCAATTAGATCAGCATACTAAACGATTCTTTTTCTTCTTTGCTCTCATCAAATAATATGCATACTTGGCTTCATATAAATATCTGTAAGGACAGGCAAATAAAATAAGTGATACGATACATTTTACTTTTAACCATTGCAATTACAACCAAGCGAGCAATTACAAGACGAGGAATTCCTCGATGCACGTTTGCTATATTTCATATGAACTCATGTAGAATAACTTGGCATCAAATGAATCTAATCGGGGGGCTGAGCATGCACTAATTCCATATCAACAATCTTGCCATTACCAAGAACCCCGATGTAGATTGTTTTTGGTGGTTAGATAAGCATGAAATGAAGAGCTTAATTACACCTTGACAACCAGTTAGCAAGTTTTTATCCATCATCCAATTTCAGCACTACTTCTCACCCATTTGACCTTTAAGGACCTTAGACTGAGGGTTTACAAGCAAACTTTACAAGAATTATGGAGAATTTGAGTCATTCCACCTGAACTCAGTTCTCATCCTCAAGCTGGTGAAACACTATAATCCTCCATCTTCGATTCACAAATTCCCAGAAAACATGGTAAATTCATTTCAGAGGTAATTAACATATCATGATCTCTCTATGGAAGATTAGATATCAACATCTCCGGGAAGCAAAAGATCTGAGTTCAGATAATAAGAACCAGAATAATTAATAGAACTCCTTGATAGTTGACGAATCTCAACTTGTCTCTATACGAATACAAAGAAAGCTAAAATCCTTTGACAGATAAAGGCTGAAAAACCTAAACAGAACCATACCAGCTTACTACACTAAAGCCATCATAAATAATAGACTCTGGCCTAAGACTGGTCAAACGAGACCCAAAGAATGCTTCCTTGTCCCAATTTGTGACTTTCCTTATTCACATGCTCTACGTTAATTTTAAGCCATGAATCAGAAATGATTATTCCTACTAAAATGCATTAACTAGTGACCAACAGTCTTACTGTCATAACTATTAGGAGAACGCTTATTGACACTTCCTACATCAATCTTTCAACAAGGACCTCAATGGCTAGTAGTTTTTTGTCAAACTACAAAAGTACCCGTACATGAATTCTATTTAGGAGCTCAACAAAACCAACAAAACATAAATAGATTAAACTTCCACAGTTATTAGTCATATACAAAATACAAGATTTGAATTTTTGCATCTTCTTTTTTATTGCATCGCCATGGCAACAACATGACTGTTTACATTGACATTTGACTTCTTTCCCCACACATGAAACAAATAAGTAGATAAGTTTGAAAGGTTTTCCTAGCCCATTCATGTTATCCCTGAACTTCTAATCACTTTGCTCGTCTTCTATATATGCTCTATCCACTATTATATCAGTGGCCCTTCTACAGAACAAAACATATCCAAACTCGGAGATAAAAACTTCCCCCACCTCTCTCTCTCTCTCTCACGCGCACACATAACTTCCATCAACATTCTTTGTTTTCACTTCTAAAGCCATCTTCCAATTCTCCCCCTTTAAAGTACTCTCTCAATCTCTCTATAATTCATTTCAATTTTTCTTTTCACCAGTTCCACATCTTCTTCTCATCAACAGAAAACCAATATTCACTCTTTCCAAACCTCCATTTCCATTCAACCCATTAAAGCCTTGAACATCCATAACATGTATACACACACCACAAACCTACTCACAGCTCCCACCCCCCCCCCCCCTCCCCCCCTCCAAAAAAATATAAAACCAATAAATAAATAAACAAATAACCCTCCCAAAGCAGGCGCACACACAAAGCACAGAAACACATATATATGCAACACACAAACACGCACACACACCCCTATCTCTATGATATTACATTGGTTCATCAAGAATATGCAAAGTGGTAAGTAATTTACATGGGGAAAAAACCGCTAAATATGCGTTCTGTTCCTTCAACTTGAGAAATCCCTAGCTTTTTACTTCCTATAAAGATTCTATATATTCATAGATTTTAAGAAAGTGCTGGAATTTTATATCTTTGCTCCCGAACTGTGCACACCTAGATAGATTACAGAGTAGAGTTCTAGACATGCTATGCTGCCTTCTTGCATAAAAAGTTCGAAAGTTGTTAAATTTCACCAGGAAAAGTCTGGTAGGTGATAGTTGCAAGATTCGTCTTTTCCATGTGAAACAGCCAAAAAAGGACAAAACTGAACAGAAATTAAAAACCAAGAGGAATAGGGGCCGTGCTACTACGTTCTTTAACGAAAGCAGTCCCTTCCCACAGAGACGAATTGGAATCAAACAGCTTTTGAGCACTGCTGCAAATGATGCATATAAGAGGACCTTTTTCAATTTAATAAGGATAAAGATACTAGATTCCTAGGCTATATACTAAAAGACCTACAGAAGAAAATATGAGGCACAGGTTCTGGAAACACACCCTTTTCTTGGACAATGTATCAATTGGCGACATAACTTCTGGCTGCACATAATTCTTTCCTCGATAGAAGATTATAGTGTCATCTCCGATCATCTGGATTGGGATTCCACCACTTAATCTGGCAATTTCATTTGCATACTCATGTACTTGACCAGGTTTACAAGGCTTGCAGATGACCTTAACCGTTTCATGTTTCTTCCAATGCATATGCATATTCAGTATTACACCACCAAATATGCCTCTTCTGCCAACTGGTACATAGTTAGACCCTTTCTGGGCCATCTTCTTCATGTAGAACCGTTCCTCACCAGTTAGGTTATGTGGTTTCACCTCAGGCCCCTGAAGTTTAGGAACTTCATAGCGCTTGAGTCTTTCAATCAGTAATGCTTCTTTAATTTTTGCCTAAATGGAACAACAAAAAAAGCCGCCGTCAAAATCCTTAGAGAAATTGCAATGGAGAATCAGATCTCTGCTATATATCTGAAAAGTGTAATGACTCATGTTCGTACTAGACAACATCAACAGAGGACAATTTTTTTAAACAAAAATGGAAAAACAACTTTGTTACTCTTCAATGTTTGTAGAATTAAAATTGAGTTAATTTAGGTCGGCTATTAACCAGTATACCTGTGTGATCCTGTGATGGAGAAAAATTGTAACGTGCTACTGTGAAAAATGAAATTTAGTGGAGGAACTGGAGCATTTCAAGCAAGTGAGCAGCCACATGAGGGAGGGGCAGCCACGGGGGAGGGGGGGGGGAGAGAGAAAGAGAGAACAAACAAGGACTTCTTTAAGAGATTTAGGAAAAGCCAAAACACCAAAAATCCCGCAAAAAATAACTGAAAATAAGCTAGGTGTAGAAATTTCAAAGACGTACTTCAAGTAATAGCATCCCTCCTACAAAGGTATTGCATCACATTCTGCTAAAAGTAAAATCCAAATAAATCTGGCCACAAAATGGAATAAATACTCAGACCTTGTGACAGATCTGGATAGACTTCTCAAAGGCTATGCAACTGATTTAAATCCAATCCATATTGACAGAAAGAATCTCACTCTGCTAAAATGTTTTAAAAATTTGGACTTCCACTCCTTAAGCCGCCAATAAAAGGCCAGATTCACTTCAACACACATTCATAAAGTTTCCTGTAGTCCTGCTTTAGTTGATCCCAAGAAGCCACTAATAGAATTATCATCACAATCCTCGCAAATCAAGATAAAGGCCATTTCACACCCAGGTAAAAACAAAAGTTCAAACTTTATAATATTGTCCCACCCTAGCTGATTTTGAGAAGGAACAAACAGTTTGATCTTTATGATCTTGCAACATTATGCTCGTCCATTTACCTTGTTAGTGTGTTACTTTCCTAATGTTTTACTTACTATTATATTACTATCCTATTAAGTCACTTTCCTCTTGTTCTACCGTCCTATTATGTTCTACTTTCCTAATATAGTAGTTGCCTTCAATATCAATATAATATAAATAGGTGATAGGGTGTTAGCAACACATACCCTACACACAATATAGTTTCATACTCTCTTTCTTTTCCCTAACACTAATATAAAATTATTCAACTTTCAATTTCATATCATAACAAAATACTTGGGTAAGTGGGCCCAATTCTAGGCAATCAACTCACTCACCTAGTGTTTAGGTCTGCCCAACACACATCAAGTCCCAGTCATCTGCATTTGTTCATTGGCTAATGTGATCATTATCGGCTACTGGGGTGCCTGAACCTATGCTTGTATCTTCGGTGTCTGATCATGGGTGCGGATTTAGTGTTTCAATTTGGTTTGGTGTTAGTTTAGTAGTTTTCAGCCAGGATCAGGTTTGGTCCAATGTTTTTAGTCTGACTTAGTGTCAGCTAAGTGGTTTTCGACTTAATTTGGAGTTAGTGTAATGGTTTTTATCCCGAATCAATTTTGGTTCAGTGTTTTTAACCATGTTTAGTGTCAGTTCAATGATTTTCGGCCCAATTTACTGCTTGTTTAGTAATTTTCATCTGGTTCAATTTCGTTTCACTGTTTTAGCCCAGTTTATAGTATTGGTTCAGTGATTTTCAAGTTAGTTTGGTGCTATGTTAGTTGTTTTTATCCCAATTTAAGTTTGGTTCAAGGTTTTCATTTCAGCACAATTTGATGTTGGTTTAGTGAATTTCATCCCAGTTTATTTCAAGTTTAATGTTTCAATCTTGTTTAATTCCGGCTTAATATTTTTAGCACAGTTTGATGCTAGTTTATTGGTTTTCATCTTTGTTTAATTCTAGTGCAATGTTTTCAACTCAGTTTAGTATCGTTTATTTATTTTTGACACAGTTTGATGCTTGTTTAGTGGTTTTGATCCGGTTTTGTGTTTTCAACCTAATTAATTTTGGTTCAGTGGTGATTTTCTTCTCGATTCAGTTTCGATTGAAGTTTTCATTGCAGTTCAGTATTGACTTTGTGATTTTTAACACTGACTCAACTTCTTTTTGGCTAATTCAATTGCGGTTCTGCTTGATTTAACCAATTTGTGATTGTTTCGGTTTAATTTGTTGTTGTATGTTGTTCATTATGGTGTTGTTGGTTGTATTCGTTTGTGCCAGTATTGTTGTTGTTGGTTCTTGTGGTGTTGTGTTTGTTTGTTGTCACCGTATTCTTTTCCTCTGCGTTGTCATGACTGTTGTTTGTTATTGCTTGTTTTAGTATGACCGTTAATTGTTTCTTTAGAAAATCAAAATGTCTTAGACTTCACATGGAGCAAAACCTAGATCTATTGCTTAGAGGGAGTGTCATAGTGTATGTTGATTAAAGAAATCCCTGAATGGTTTGAAATAGTCAACCATAGTCCTTATTGTTTACGTGGAGATATTACGGTCAACACCGCAATTTTCTCATCAAACCATTGGCGCGGTCCAACTTTAGTAGTCTTTATTCCAAGTTGGACTTTTTTTTTTCTTTGCTCCAACTTGAGGGGGATCATTAAAGTGTTATTTTCTTATTATTCTACTTTCCTATTATGTGATTTTTTCTATAATGTTCTACTTTCCTAATATTGTAATTGTTCTTCAATATCAATATAATATAAATAGGTAATAGGGATTGGCAACACATACCCTACACACAATATTGTTTCATCCTCCTCTTCTTCTCTTTCTTTTTTTAACATATAATTACTCAAGTTTCAACTTACCCCAATCACCAATGGATCATTATGCTTATGTTTCAAAGTCCCAACCACCAGGTGGAGAGCACTATCAAAGTGTAATTGACCTAGATTGTGAGGTTAAGATCAAACATTGTCCTTAGAGTCTACTACAAATATCACATAAGGAAGAAAGGAAGGGTTCGGAACTGCCATTTCCCAATGCCTTGCTGATCAATACCTTGACACTCCAAAAACATTTGAGAGAGAATGAGAAAAAGTGTATCACCCTATTTCACACCTCTATAACTTGTAGTTTTATTGTTCAGCAAACCAGTGGCTTTTGACAGAGGCAGCACAAAGATGGTTAACAAGATGCAACAATGACCATACAAGAAAATCTACGTCCTTCCCCAAATACCCTAAGATAGTTAGTCAAGGACTCCATAGTTTGTAAATGAAAGTGCTTACTTGTACTTTTCTTTTCCTAACATATTCTCTTAACTCTAAGAAATTAGGTTAGGATAGACCTCCTATGAACTGATAAACTGTCCTAAGGACTATATGCATTTCCCAAATTCCAGTGGACAAATATTTTCTAACCCAAGACACTTTGTAATTTGGCTTATTAGCCAACACTTACATTTTAAAAAATGCTATTTTACAGATAAATTCTCTATAAAAGTGAATAAAAATTTCACCATTTCTATGAAAGTATTGTTCAAGAAGCACTTCCAGGGTCGCTGCAACAATTTTCATAACTCACAAGTTGCAAAAGGTAAATCCATTGTCTGGGAGGAATTACACTGCATAATCAAAGCATACAATTGGGCAGACTATTACAAAACATGTACAATAAAGAATGTATAGAGCAGCCACAGATTCTCAAAAACAAAACAAATCCCCAATGACAAAGTCCAAACCAAGCATTAAAAGAAGAACTGGGTAGAGAATAAATAGCTTTTCTATTGCAGATAAAGCAGAAACAACCTATTAACTATTATGAAGGTGTCATTTTCCTAATGCATCTATTGTGATCATACTAAAACCGATGGAATACATTAACATGTAATTACGATAATATCATAAATTACACCTAATTCGAGAAAACCCAGACATCGTATAAATAAGGAAATTATGGAAACACATAAAACCATTTTACCCAAAAAATACATTTGTATCTCGGAAAAGATCCAATTTTGCTCACCTTTTCAAGTTTGTACTTAATTCTTTCCTCCGCATTTGCAAACCTCTGCCTCTTCTTCCTCCCTTTAACACCAATCCTTCTTGGGTCTCTCTTATTGGCAGCTTTTCTTCGCTGTTTTTCTTTCTTTCTTTGAAGCTTCAACCTCTTCTTCGTCTTCCACTTCTCCTTCTTCGGAGGCTCGATTTCATGAGTCTCGAACTTTGGTTTTCCTTGGGATATCACAAAGTTAACAGAACCATGACTGAAGTTTCTGAACACCCACCATGAATTTGACGGCTTTAATGGAAATATAGGTCTGGAAAGAGTGAAAATTGGTTGTGTGTTGTGGAGGATGGACCTGGAAGAAGAATAAAATGGTTTTGAAATGGAGAGATAAAGGATTGAAAACAATTGTAGAGAAACTGGGGGGGAGAGAATACCTTAAACAGAGACAATTGGAAGAAGATGACTTGAGGAGTGAAAACACAGAACGTTTACGGAGGCCACGAAGCAGATGATTTGCCATATAACTTCATAGAAGATTTGTGAGTGTGTGTGTTAGTGAGAGAGAGGGACGATTTCAGCCAAGTTAACCTAAATCTTGTGTAGTATGGTTGGATCAACAAATAAAACTATTTTGCAGGATGCAATTTTTTATCAATTTTTTCTTACCAACTTAATTCTAGGCAGAATTACACTCAGGCTTATAAAGTTTGTCATTTAATCGCAAAACTCTGATATTTAAAATATTATATATAAATTTTCTAAATTTCTTACGCTCGTAACACTTATATATCTGTCATTAACGTCTGTTTATATGTTCGTTAATAAATTACATGCAAATTCCCTATATTTTATAAATATATAATATTTAAACTCTTCAAATTTAAAATGTTATATTTAAACTAAAAATATTTTAACTAAAAATATTTCAATCAAAAATAAAATATTAAATATTTTAAATTTTATAATCAAAATTCATGTTATATTATAATATTTTATTAAAATAAAATCAAAAATCAAAAATTAATTTTTCTTAAAAAATCAAAAATTAATTTTTTAAAAAAAATCATAATTAGCATTTATACTTAAAAAATCAATAAATATCATAATATAACATGAGTTTTGGTTGTAAAATTCATGTTTTATTAGAATGACTTAAACCACTTATTTAATTTTTTTAGTTTTATTACAATAGATAATATAATTATATACAAATTACATTTTTTTAAGAAAAAATTAACTTTTGCTTTTTATTTTATTTCAATAAAATGATACAATAGATCATGAATTTTGATTTTAAAATTTAAAATATTTGATACTCTATCTTTGATAAGAGTATTTTTTGTCTTAGTATAATATTTTAAATTTTAAGATTTTAAGTATTATACACTTACAAATTTTAAGGGACCTGAATGTAATTTATTAACAAATATATGAAAAAAAATTGACGACAGAAATTCAAGTATTACGTACATATAAATTTTAGAAGAACTGTATATAATATTTCAAACATCAAATAATCTAAATAATTAAGTGGCAAAATCTCACAAGATTTGAATGTAATTCTCTCTAATTCATTAGATTAGTAGGTCTTATTAGGTCTTACTAACCATCTAATGGTCGTTATTGTGCCAAATTTACAAATTTGGAATTCACAAAACCATTGAGCGTCTTGATCGAATGTGGATCGACACTGGTTATTCAATGATGAACTAGTCATATTTAAGCATATGGAGTCGTCCCTGTGAAGAAAACTTTCGATACATTTGAAATTTGGGTGGAACTATTTTTACCTCTTAAAATTTTTTTTTCACCATATTTAATTATTTTATTTCAAACTATTAATTTTATCCTATCTTTTCATTCAATCAAACTATTAAATATATGTCAAAAAAATTGAAACAAATATACCAATTGAAATAAAATTTTAATGTTCTGAGTTAATTTATATTATTTCGAGGTGTTTTGAGATATTTTAATATAATTTCATAAATGTCTTTAAAATATTTTAAAGTATTTTAAGATATTTTGGTATATTTTAACTAATATTTTAAAAATAACAATCATTTTTTATTAATTTTATATTTTACTTCTAAAATATTTTTGTACCAAAATAATACGTCAAAATGAAATTTTGATTATTGTCCATATAATAAGTTGAAATAAAATTGAATAAATTTAATTTTTAATTTAAAAATATAGACGGGATAAGTTTAATAATTAATGAGGTAGAGTATAAATAAAGTGGATTGAATAATTTGAAGTATAATGATTAAATAGGGTGCAAAAAGAGATTTAAAGAGTGTAAATAGTCATACCATTTAAATTTTAGGCTTAACTCTTCTACTTTATTAGACCAGAGTAAATCATGAATAATCATTGCCCAAGACGGAGACAAGCTAGCCAATCATAGTCCAACAAATTAAATTCTAATAAACTCTTGGGTCAGTTTGGCCACTTATAACTTGGGAACTTACAAATATTTGGGTTTACAGTGTTTTGTTTGGCATCTTCGCAAAAACATATTATAAACAGCTCACGAATTAAATTGACTTGCATATGAGAGCAGCCCAATTGGGTTTTTTTTTTCCTGGGCCAATTATATTTTATAAACTAAAAGGTTGTTTGATTGCAGTATTAAGGGGTGTATTAAAGAATTATAACAAATTAAAATTTTTTAATCAGGTCTAATACTCTATTTGGTAAACAAATTTGATTTCGTATTAATTTCAAAAACATGAACTGTATTATAGAAGCATTTTAATAACATCAGGAGAACTGATATTATAAATCAACTCAAATGTATTATTGTACACATTTACAATTATAACCCCCACAACTGATAAAAACAAACTGTCACCAATGTAAAAAATACTGATTTAGGGTATTTTTGTTAATTCAATATTAATACGATAAAATAATTCTTTAAACAAATAACAATTTGAACGAAATAATTACTATTCAACGCTTATATATTGTCAAATATTATATAAAATTATATGTTATTTTAATACCCCATTTAATCTTATCTTTTGTACATCTATATTGTATTAGATTGGATTTATTTATCCAATTTGATGGGATTTTAGGCGGCTCAGCAACCTCTAGATCGACACGTGTAAGATTGTAACTGTTATGGAGTTCAAAAGACGCCGAGGAGAATAGCCGAGAGATAACGACTCAAAGAAACCGAGTCCATGAGATGACACCGTTCATTTATGGCGATGTGAGTGACGGAGATAAGACCATTAATGAGCCTTTGCCTACTCAGGGTTTAAACCTAGAGTCATAATGGCTAAACATTAATGGTTATTATGTCGAGTATACCTCCTAGGTGTATCCCGAGGTACTGTTCCCCGAGCATTTAATGCTCAAGAATAGGTGTCATGCGCTGATCAGAGGTATTTGAGTACTCGAGGATAACCATGAGTTCTCGGCATGGGACCGAGTACTTATCCTATCACCCAAGCATTAAAGATACGGAGAATTGAGTGGAGAACACTCATTGCGCATGGGTAAGAGTATCAGACATTTAATGCTGAGATGGGACTTAAAGTTTTTCCACTCATTGCTAATCAAGGTATACTCCTCATAAAAATGAACAAAGGTACGCAAGATTGAACAGAAACAAAAATTATATTGTGTTCAAGTTTCCAATCTTATACTGACTTAAGATTTGGAGGGAATAAGCTAAATGTTCATTCGGCCCCTTTTCTGACTTTGTAATTGTTTCAGGTTCACCATATTGGCGACTGCTATTTCAATTTGTTGTAGGAAATCTTTTGTGCACAATCTATCCATTTTTAATATGGCAACTAAACGAGCCCTAAGTTTATATGCAATTAAACCTCTCTCAAGAGTAATATTCTCTTTATCTAGAGATTTTTCCTAAGCATTATCTTAGTCATCCTGTTTCACTATGATAACAGACCTCAGTCGCCTACCACCCTAATAAACCACCGACCACAACAATTCACTTTGAAGCCACAACACAAACTTCGTCGGTTAATCTTCCATTGAGCTTTCCTCCCTTAAACCATCCAAGTTGCACCATTTTTTCTCAACAATCAAACCCTAGATTTGAATATCCTCTAACAACAATAAAACCTTCTTCACAATCCTACACCTATCTACTCTTACTAACCCATACCTCTAGTGACAAATTCCAACCTAGAATCCCCTCTTAAGACAAAGCATCAAACTTTCTCCAAACCTGACCTCTCAAGCACACCAAACAATGGACTAAGAAACCAACTCACAAAAATAAAACCATCCACTATTTTCGCTCTTTTACTCATCTTTATCCACCAAAACTACAAAGCAATCATGCTAATGGGGAGGTTTATTACAAAAACACCACAGAACAAGCAAGGGTGGATTAAGACAATTTAGGGCCAAAAACAATACTTCTAAATGAGGCCTTCTATGTTTAATATTAATATTTTTTATTTAAAAATTAAATTTCTTGCTTTGAGTTGCATAAAGTATTAATTATGTTTTTTATATTCAAAATTTGGCTACCATATCTTTTTCTATTGATAGTATCGGTAATCCCAGTTAATCTTCTCTTGTGACATAGCGATCTTTATGAACGATTTTATCAATTTTAATTTTGAAAAGTTTTCTTCCGCAGAAAACACTGTTACAGGAATGTTAATAATATTTTATAAGCAATGCATGCATTTGGAAAAGAATCTAAGTTTTTTTTATGTAATTTAGTATCTCAATTGGAGTATTT